ATGATTTATATTCTAGCACAAATCAAGGTATGCTGCTGCCTTGTATTGCTGCCTTTGTTTTTTATCAAGTGCTTTTGGTTTTCTATATCATAGATTTATACAAACTCATGAATTGGCTTAAATTGCCTTTTATATATCAGTAGGCTAACATTTGTTACACAGCTGTTGATACCCAGGGAGAACAAGAGATCTGTGCAGCTGTCTAAAGGACAGAACTTGTTGTTTACCAGCATAACACAACCATGCCCCAGTCTCTGGGAAATTGAGTTAGTGGACCCAGGAGTCCATGTAAATTAGAGAATGTTGTGACTATTTTTGAGATAGGGGCTATGAATGAGATGATGTATGATTTTTTTTTTTTTAGCCCCTCTAGTACAAATTTCTATTTCTTATGTGACTATGCAAAGTTATCTAAGATTAAGTTTACAGTCAGTGTTAGTTGCAGGTGACGTTCAACAGTAAATTTTAAGATCACTTAAACACTTTGAAAAATCCAGCTTATTTTTAATTACTTGTTTGACCTTTTTAATAGGTTGACTTTGTGATTAAGGAAGCAACTAATCTAGATAACTTGGCTCAGCTGTATGAAGGTTGGACTGCCTGGGTATGAGTAGGGAGAAAGCAGATCAGTCTGGTTCAGCGAGGTCAGACATCCACCAGAATCAACTCGGCCTCAGGCATCCGTAGCCGCACCACAGTCGGTGGTGATGCATACTGGGGCTTAATCTGAGGAAACCTAGGAAATCTCGGTGCACTGGGAAGTGAATCCTGCAGGATAGCTGCACTCAGGGATACGCTAAACACAATGGTCTGCAACCCCCACGGTCAAGGGTGAAAGCTCACCGCTTGAGCAACACGGTTTGTCTTTCTGCCACGGAAGAACTGCAAATGTGTCTGGGGGGGTTAGCTGCAGAAAGAAATCAGGATGCTACAAACCGCAGAGCGATTTGGAACTCAATTCCACCTGACCCTGTGAACAATTCAGGAAACACCGAACCCTATTCAAAGAAAAACAGAAAAAATGGGGCCATGAAGAAGTCACAGCAAGGGAAGATTTGATGCATTCAGATTCTTGTTACTCTTGTGGCGTGGCAACAGTGCTGGTTGAGTTGACCAGTTAGTACGGAAAAAGGCTACGAAATGTAAACTTCAGAAATGGACTGAAAGCAAAGAGATGTACATCGATATACGCTGCATTGGAAGAACTTCTGAGATAGAAGAAAAAGCCTTTGTTCTCCTCTTCCTTTCTTCTTTCCTTTCTCTCCTCCCTCCCAGCCTCTCCTCGCGTACACCCCTCTTGGCTTATTCTTGTAGGTTAGGCGTACTTCCAATAACTTTTTATTTCAATCCTTCTACTTCACAGTTTAGTCAAATTAACAAATTTTGTTTGGTAAACAAATTTTCGAAAAGCACTGAAAATATATAACATCAATGATTACGTACGAGTTGGATGGTCGAATGCAAAATGTAATTTTGGTTATTTTGAAGTCATTTCTGTGATTCTGTTATGTACAGTTTCTCAAAATTGTCACTGTGCATTTAAAAGTAATGAATCCTACAGGCATTTGTTTTAACATGCACTTCCCTTCGCTTGCAGTGTACACTTTTTTGTAATTCAAATTGTCCCTCCAATCTCATTCTACTGTGATTGCTGTAGTTTCTTTCGTACGACGTAGCTAATCCAATGTAATCTTTACCTTTTTAAAAACCAGGATAGAGTATCTAGTAGAGTTTTACATTATTGATGACAGATAAACAATAAAGTGATGTTCTGGTGGAGGTAGAGTGAAGCGCTTTTTACTTCACTTTCCTAGTACTTTTAGTTTACGCTTGTAAATTATAGTGCTTCAGTTCACAGGGGTATACATATAATCCAAGAAATGAAGGACGCTTCAATTTTTGTTCAACTAGATCTGTAAAGATTTCTGCAAAGATTTTCCTTTGCCAAATTATTCCTATAGATGGTTGTTCAATGATGCATCCATGGTGAATCTTCCACTAGAGTTGTTTTGGTTTTAATCAGTTCTGCACTCAAAGTGTGATTACGGTCAGAAAAGTCTCTCTAAAAATGGCATAATCTTACTGAGATTGATATCCTGCTGCTCTGCTCGTTGTCTAAAAGACTTCTTGCATCCCTTTTAAAATGGGACACTGTTAGCAAAAGGCAGCTTCCTTTTCTTGGAGCAAATAAACCTAACACAATTCAGTTAACAACTGCAGAATCTTGCAGGTGCTGACAGCTGAAGCAGAAATGCATACTGGCGTTCTCAACCCAGAAAAAATTGCGTAGCTATGTATAAAAAGATTCTTTTTTGTAAACTTGGTGAAAGCATTATGCACAGTTGCTGAGAAATTAGAGATGTGGGAAGATCCTTTTTGCCATTTTGGTCACTTTTCAGAGTCAAAACACACTTTAAATACACCATTTTTTCAATCAGAATTTGAGTATTAAAGGATTTGAGCCAAGCTCACTACTGGCATAAAATTAATTTAATTCAATGGGTTTGCAGCAGTTCATCTGAGTAGAAAGCTTAGCAGGTAATTTTCAGGTAACATCAATTAACAACAGGCATAAGTAATAGGCAAACTTGTATTATTTTCAGTATTTGCACTATGCTAACTGCTCTGCCTCCTCAGTCTTAGAATTCACTTTCTCCTCTGTTGCAAATTTTTTGTGGACATGCACTTGGAAGTGTAAGAATTGTCAACAGACACATGGCCTTTTTTGCATTCTGATTGCCTGATTAACTCTAGGGAAGTCACAGGCTTTGTATCTAGAAATACCCGTGCAAATGTGTTCTACTGCCATCGCTTCCTGAACCCTCTGCCGCGCCAGTCATTGCAAGAAAGAAGGCGTTTGAATGTTGCAGTGAACAGCATTCATGTGCAGAACAAGACACTTAAAACTGTTGGTCCTTTTAATTTTTCTCCAGTTAAAAATAACCTTATGAACAATCTGTTTGGAGTACCATAGTAGCAAGAGTGTATTATACACACTGTCTTATTTCTTGGAAGCTGGGGTGGAAGGGAGGGGTAATGCACTCACCTGTGGCTCATGTATTATACCTCTGCTATCCAGAAGTGAAACACTTGTGTTGGAGATGGGTCCTTACTGCGTAATTTAATAAAGTTTTAAAAAAACCCAACCTAACAGACTATGTATTCATAATTTCCTTGTACGCAAAACTACTTGTTGTTGTGGAAATTATGGGGCAGAATATGCCTAATATAAACAAGTACAAAACAAATCCCAAATTAGAGCAGGATTCTACAGATACTTAAATTTGCATGGCGCGTGTTGAGGAGACAGCTCACATGCTTAGGAGTCAGTGGCACTGTCAGCTTTTGTGTGCTGATGCATTTTTTCTTGGTAAGTGTTGACAACATGGCAAATCTGTATGCTCTTGGTTAAACTAAATGTGTGTGCATCTTGCATATTAAATAAGACTTAGTTACAGTATCTTCTAAAAGATAAAGTCTTTCTAATAAAGATATAGATTACTTCATGTTTTTCAGTAAAACTGAGATATTTACTTTTTTTCTGCAGTAAGACCTAGAATAGCGCAGATTGAGAATCAAATCTTTGTAAATACGTAGAAACCAGCTGAAGCTGTGGAAGTCTAACTGTTCAGTTGGTGGCAATTTTTTGCATGATGCTCACCTGCAGTAAATGTTAGCCAAGGAATGATGCTATGAACTGATTCCTCCTGGTCACGTTGAAAATATGCTCATCGGTTTAAGTCGTTACCCATTCCCAGTTATACAGGCTATGGGTTGAGATGATCTTAACCCTTTGAAAATGCAGTTACTAGTTTGACTTTTCCTGCTCTCCTTCTGTAAAGGTGGGATGTGAGCCAGAGGGGTTATGAGGATGTGTTTAATCGCAAATTATTTTGGTAGAATAATAGCGTTGTCAAGTTCATATAAGTGTGAAATTGCAATTAATGTGTATAGTTAACAGAAATTATTCTGGAACTTTGCAGTGACTTCATGGTCTCTTTTACCTTTGCAAAAATTGGCTTTGCCTTTAGATTAGTCTTTAAATAGTAATATATTTTCTCTAATTTTTCAAGTATCTGCAGAAGACTCAAATCTTCCATATAAATCAGACATAAAGCAGAGCGGGTGACATAATTTTCCAAGGAAAAATGAATGAGACACCTGTAAAATCATTGGTGACACTTCGTACTTATGCACGGTTGCCTTGCGCGGGGAAGGAGGGCATTTCACTGCACAACCTCCGTTGTGGGAACTGCAGCAGCCATCAGCCCTGAGACACCACGTAGTGCTGTCCGCCCTCTGATAAACTCATCACATAACACTCGTCCTGTTAACTGCTGTGTGATACCTGAATGCAAAGCACCAGATAAAAATATTACTTCAGAAACACTGGAGGGGATTGGAGAGGTTAAAGCTCTGTTTGTTCTTCTAAATGCTGTAGTCCTTAAAGTTAATTTGCTTCAATTACTCATCACTGCGTTCTGTGCCTAGTACATTTGGCCCTCCTGTTTTAGCACACTCAAATACTTCAAAGGTTTATTTGGTCCCTTGCCCTTCTTTTTCTGCAAGCTTTTCTTAAAGTAGCAGACATGCCCCTTTATGCATTAAAGAATCAGGAAAAAAGTTTAAGATGACATCTGCCATTCATTTTTTGCTTGCTTATCACAGTACCCGATTATCACATGCATATATATTCTTTTTCCTTTAGTGGAAAATAGTTATTCATGAGTATACTGTTAATGTTTTAGTTCAAGAATTTCATTGAAGATACAGAAATTACATAAAACTACTGTTATGTGTATGTAAGTGCATAGCAAATTAGACATATTTTGCCATCCATTGGATTAATTTTTTATTAATACCGCAAGAAAAATAACTAAGATGCAATTATTATATTAGGTGGAGGCTTAACATGTTAAATTTGTGTCTCTGTTGTAAGTGCACAGAGCAATTAAACTGCTCCTTTTAAAGGAACTTTGAAGTTAGCTTGGACATCTAATTTTCTGTGCTGCTGCTAAGCGAATCTTGGTGTAGGAAGAACGCATTGTGTTGCAGTGTGATCTGTGTCATGTGTTGAAGCATACAGAAAACAATTGCCTTTCTATAGCTCAGGTAATGTATGGGAGGTGGCAAACAGGTTTTCCACACTGAGCTACTGCTGTTACTGTTCTCTGCCTTCTGTATTAGGAGTCTGATTTTAACAACCAAATTTTTAAACATATATATGTACACATGAACACACACCTTTTTTTCCTCTAACACTGCTTCAGAAGGCCTTGCTGCTCAGGGCGGGGGGTACTGAGTAGTGTAGCAGGGCCCCACGCTGTCCCATTCTCTGCAGTGCAGTGGTGCATCTGATGGCTGGGCAGTGAGGGCATCCTGCATGGCTCGCTTTTCCCTCTGCCCCTCTGAGCTACAGAGAAACCCCTCACCTGGGGGAACTGCACCTCTTTGGGCCCTCTAGGATTGGAGGAAAGCTCTAATGGTACACTTATTTGGGAGCTGGCATTTGAAAGAGTGGCTGAAAGATAATGAATCTGGTAGTTGATGCAAATGATGGAAAATAATGGCTTTTTTCGTTTTAAGTGGTGAAAATCACACAAATGGATGCAACCAGGAGCTGGCTGATTGCCTTGAATGGCCGCAGAGGTGGCCTCTGCAGGACACTGCAAATACTCCCAGGAAAAGCAATGCATCGTGATTCCACGTGTGTTCATACTTCCTCAAAAGACTAATCTGATTTATTGCTGGCATTACTTCCTTAATGAAATTAGCTTTTGTTTGAACTTTGCTGTGGTAAAATTACAGATTTTGAGAGTGGACTCCACCATTTTTAAGTGCAAAACAGTACACAAAAATACTCTTAGCAGTATGTAAATGAATTTAAAAGTTGTTCAGTAAATTATCTATTCTTTAAATGCAATCTTAAATGAGTGTGAAAAGCACCCTGTAAAAGATCAAACAATTCAATACAGACATGGGTTTGCTTTTATGGTGTCCTCCTTAGTCCTCCTCCATCAAGCTGGTGAGCTGGGTTGGGAAAGTATTGCAGTTTTGGTGCCAGAAATGATGTTTTCGTTGCCCTTATTTTGGAATTGCATTACATCCTAGGGATTGTGATTAAGCTCACTAACACGTGTGACTAAAGCATTTAGAAAGACGAGTCAGAAAAAATATTTATATCCTTGTGCTGTTCTTCTGTGTCTACTCCCTTACTGCTACACCTTCTAAAAAAAAGCAAGCAAGTTGCTGGGCAGATGGTAATTACCCTAGCTAGGTCAGGAGCAGTGGCCAGAGCTGGAGAACCTTCCTGGGAACTTAGGAGTTGTTTCATCTGTTTCCTGTATTGCAGTGTGGCAATCCCATCCCCCTGGATTCTGCTCTCTGCAGCCGACACGCTGGCTGCTTCACGTTGATCATGTGCAGTAAATAAATACGTGTGCTGGAAAAACAGCACAACTTTGAGTCAAAGAAAGTCTGTTGGTGAGTGCCTTCGGTGCCATGTTATTTCAGTAATACCGTATTTATTAGCCTTTATATATTCTCCCTCAGAAGGCTCTGTCCAGTTTGTAGGATATGCACGCACATGACGGTATGAAGGTAATGTTTTTAGACAGCACATAATCTTATTTGCCTCCTAATAATCACACGTTCGTGGTATATGGGTCAGGTTTTTTTTAAATAAAAGCATTACCCCTGACAGCCCTGGTGGGGAGGTGTCTCTTATCACCCCTGTGACAACGGCCGGGCTCCCGCCCC